CCATGAAAGTTTTAAAAACAATTTTAAAGCCCCTGGGGAAAAGCCATATCCTAATCTTATTCATAGTGATAATAAAGACACATTTTTCTAAATCAGCCTCTGATTTAGAAAAACAAGCCAACTGCTTGATTTGTAAGCAAAGTTTTATTCGAACACAGTCCCATGAACTTTTTTACATACTGGCTGTGGATGCGCTGGCTACAGAGGCAGACCTGAGCAGCTGTCACAGAAGCCTCGAGAAGCTGGGCCTGCAAAATCTCAAATATTTACTGCACAACGTCTGCAGAAATGTCTGCCAACTCCTGTGCGAAATAAATACTGAGGCTAAGAATCCCACTAGGTATTTCACACTGCTTATCCCTACAGTAATTAAATCATTCTGTGTTGTGCATACCTGCTGGTCCTCCTATAAATTCTTTAAGAAACAAGGGTTGTTTTCTCCCTAGGGCCTGAGCACAGTGTAGGCAAGAAGTATCTATTTGATGAATGAATGAGTTGTTTCTAGATGAATTTTGAAGTCTTAAGCCCCCCAAAAGTATTGTTGGTCACAGTGACAGCCTGGCTCAGAGACATTTATCAGTATCTCCATGTTTTCTGAAGTCTAACTTGTATTGGCTCTAAACTTAGAGTAGTAGTATTTTCCAGGACATTTGGTGATAAGATAGGCCCTGTGTCTGTATTATGCCAAATTCCTTCTACGACACACAATTTGGGCCCATCTTCTTTCTAACTTCACGCATTCCTCTCTCCCTGAAGCCCTTGCATCAGAAGCATGGCTCTGACAGTGCTAGTCTCATAGCTGACGTGCAAAGCTGGTCCTCTATCCTGCAGAATCCATCTGCGCTTCACAGTATGGTTCCCGGCAGCCTGCGGGGGCTCCCTGGTGGCTCCAGCCCATCTCTCATCTCCAACGCACATGGCACTCAGCCACCAACACTTAGATACAAGGGAAGCCAGGAACAGATGCCATTGGAGTCTGGAAAGACACGGGCGAAAGGACAGAATGGCAGAAACTTCTGGCTTTCCACGCCCAAAATGTATTTGCCTTTAGAAATGGAAGAGAGTTTAATGTGAAGAGTGAGAAATCTGACTCTCAAGAAAATCAACAAGATTTGGAACATTACCTAAGAGCTCAAGAGTCCAACAGACCCAGTAGAAAACAAAGCTAATGTGCTTACTAGCCAGGTAGACTTGAGCCAATTCATGGATCTGTCAGTAACAAAAATACCTTACTGGCAAAATAAGTACAAAAGAGAAGTTTGAAGAAACACTATGTGTATTTAAGGTGTCTAACAGTGAAATATCATGTGTGTATTTCTCCTTCCCTTTCTTATTTTTAATGCCACAAAGAGAATTAACTTTAGACATTTCCACTTACCAAGCATTCCTTTCTTGGAGCTGGACAGGCACATGTCCTTCTCCGCACTGGGCAGGGCAAAACTCACCACAAACACCTCCACTCCATCGGCCATCAGGGCCAAACCCAAGACGAAGAAGAGAATCCACTGGAAGCGGCCATGGCCACACTCATCAATGATGGTCTCATACTGGTGGGCCAACTGCTCCTCATCTTCCATCCTCTCAGCCATCAGGTCTGCCTGGCCCCGAAGGCCATCTGCCCTGGAAGGCGCCATCTTGTTCTGTTTGGTTTTGACATCATCTGGATGGGGAATGCCCTGATACTCGCCTTCATAGATCTCATCCTCCTCATCATGGCCTTCTGTAACATCACTCTGTGCGTCTTCCTCTGGGTTGGACTCATTGCCCCGGTAATAGCCATCACTGGGGGCATAGCCCTCATAGTTATCCTGATACTTATAGTCATCCATTCCCTGGTTCCGGGACTGCCTGGTCACCTCTCGAGCTATATCCCTTGCTCCGTGGTAGACGTTTGGGCTGTTCCGGTAACCATCATCCATTATACAGTCTCAAGGCAGAATACCTTCATGTGACTTTCTGAGTGAAAATCACACCTGTTTTCTCCCTCTTTTTTTTCTTAAATCAACCAGATTTATGCAAAGATAACTTGGATATTCTTTTCTTTTACATTCAATGTCTATAGATGTCTGGAAATCTTCAAACTCGGGTCTGTCTAGTCTCCTTCAGTGACTCAGAGATGTTGTGTTAGGAAGCGCTAATTAAAAATGGGCCCAGCTGCTCTCTTTGACAAGGCACAGGCAGACTTGGCAGCTTGCTTACTGGCCTGGATTTGTTCTGCTACTGAAGGTTATACCTGAAGGTAGAGAGAAAAGAGAAGAATATTACAGAATGCTTGAATTCTGGCAAAATACTTCAGAAGTAAACCAACATATTTAGCAAAGCCATTGCTTCATCTGTAAGGTAGAGGAAATCTTCATTGGACACTCAGATTCAGGGTTGGTGAATGAGGGTTGGGCTGGGAGCCGCTGAAGCTGGAAATTGATCATACAGGATGAGGCCTTGTTGCCTAAAGCAGTCAAGCTGTCCTAGTCTTGAGAAAAACATCCTGCCTGGACATTGTTGGTAACCTTATGCCTTGTAACTTTGCAAAGGTATAAATAAACGTCCCTACTATTATTCCAGGGGATCATTGGCCAATCAGGTAAAGGGCCACCACCTGAACCAGCTCTTGTCTTTTTGTCTATCTTTTCCTCATTCCTCCCTCGGGTACATTGAGAGACCAGTGCATCCTACGGGGTTGAATGAGACAGACTTGAGAGGGAGGAGGATCCATGGCCAGAGAAGCCTCTGGGCTGTGATTAACCCAGGAGAGGGGTCAAATCGTATGCATGAAGGAAACATGAAGTGGTCAAGGGAGTTTTGAGGGAAGAAAATTCAGTGTCACAGATTTTTTTCTTAGAACTTAATCAAGCCTTACTGTAAAAATTCACTGTATTCCATTTCAGCTGTGAATATGCCAGCCTTCCTAACTTTGTGAGGAAGTGGCTGTATAATCTAACATCTAGAAATGTACAGCAAAAAAATATTCAGGGTGGTGATTCCTGAGGCCCAACTTGCTTTTGACACTTGGCATTCTGAGACTCTGACTTTGTACTGCATTTGGCTTAGGCTGGCAAGTGCATGGGGTTAAAGATCCGGAACCAAATTGCATGACCCTGAAATTTGATTCTGCTGCACAGTAGCCAGATGCCCAGGCCCATGTCATTCCAAGGCTCTATTTAATGATTCATACTATGTTCACATTCCTTGTCCATAAGTTTCAGAACAAGAAAGACAAGGGGGCCAGCGAGATAATTCAATGGACTAAGTGCCTACTTAGGCAAGCACAGGGGCCAAGGTTCGATCCCTGGCACCACATGCTGTGTCAGCTCTGCCCCTGTGTTTTCTGAGCTGTGTCCAGGTGTGGTGCTGCATGCCTGTAATCCCAGTGCTGGGAAGGCTGAAAACAGGAGGATCACTATGAGTTTGAGCTGCATAGGGAGACCCTGCACAAAATATAAGAAAGAAAGAAAGAAAGAAAGAAAGAAAGAAAGAAAGAAAGAAAGAAAGACAGACTGGGGAGATAGCTCAGTAGAATAAGCAGCTGCCTGGCAAGTGCAGGGTCCTGAATCCCCGCCCATAAAAAAAGAAGGAAGGAAGGAAGGAAGGAAGGAAGGAAGGAAGGAAGGAAGGAGAAAGAAAGAAAGAAAGAAAGAAAGAAAGAAAGAAAGAAAGAAAGAAGGGAGGGGAGGGGAGGATGATGGGAAGGGTAGGAAAGGATGATGGGAGGAAGAGGAAAGAAAAGAGAGGTGGGGAAAGGAGAGAAGAAAGGAAAAAGAATGTGTGTCCATACATTGGGTGGCTTGGAATGGATTAGCAATGCAAGCAAAGCTATGCAGCCAGGCCTCATGGCCAGGTCCACTGGTCCACTGGTCCTACAGCAAACTCACTCCAGACACTGTGCTCTATCCTAAGATATCATCATGTTCTGTCACCTGGAAGCTTTAACGACACAGGTTCCCAAAGCTCACAGAGTTCAGAAGTCTGAGTTTGTACACCACAACCCAAGCAGCCCGAGGCTCCCCCTCTCTCGCTAAGCAGCTCCTCTAGGGTAGAGACCAGAATTCTCCCCGCCCTCCACTCCACCCCAACTGTGGCTGGTGCCAGGCTTCTGACAGAACAGACAGAGCCCCACTCCCTAGCTCCACCCACCTGCCGACACCTCCATATGCCAGCAATCCTTGCAAGCCTCTCTGGAACACCTGAAAGCCACTGGCCTTTTTCCCACACTCAGCAGATGTCACCTCACAATGATCTGGACACACTTGTCCTGGCAGGGTGCTGGATCCTCTGCCCTGCACCTGTCACCTGGCTCTCCTCACCCTCCCCCTGGAATAGACACCAACCACGGGAATCATCTAACCCCCACAATATAATGTTTTCCTTCTGAGAGGGTACCAGACAGTGGCCTTTCTCAAACAAAGGGTGAACCAGAACCTCCTAGGGAATGGAACACATAAGAAATGCAAATCCAGGGCCACTTCAAAGATACCGATAAAGGGCTGGTGAGATGGCTCAGTGGTCTAAAGCACCTACTTAGAACAAGCTCAGCAAAGCACAGGGACCGCAGTTCAATCCCCCAGCACCACAAGCCAGCCCCGCCCCCTGGTGGGCTGAGCTGGCTACACACATACATACACACACACACACACACACACACACACACATACAAATAAATAAATAAATAAATAAAATTAAAACCTTTAAAAAAAATACTGATAAAGATACTGAACCTACAGAGTGGGAGTAAGGCCTGAAATATGCATCTTCCATAAACACCACAGGGAATCCAGGGCGCTGCACTCGAGAGCCAGCACGAGCCAGCAAGTAACCACCAGTAGGAGCCAGCAAGAAACATCTGCTAAGACTAAGTTCCAGTCTACTCTTCCTGATTCGTTATCATGCTTAGTAAATAAATTTATACTAGACTATCCTGGCTTAAACCATGTCAGATTAATATTCTAAATCTGTTTTTATTACATGCATTAAAGGACCACAGGAGGAGTATAAATCACATGTAAATACCATGAGAGTTTTCAGGGCTATAAAAAAAAAAAGGAGAAAGAATGCCAAGTGTCTGAGATTTGCTGTGTTATTTCTATTCTGGGGGCCTTGCAGAAATGTCATGAGCCAGAAATGATAGATTTGCAATTCTCGAAGCACATGCAGGAAAGACCAATTGGGGCCCAGTTTCTGGGATTTGCCCTGTGGGAAGGAGCTTATCTTTGTCAAAAGTAATCGCACTCTACTGATCCAGTCACAGGAGCTGCCATGAACATCACATGCAGTGGAGTAAAGGCGGCATCACTGTCAAGTGTTTCTATTTTTTTATTTCTGTTTTATTGAGAAATACCACTTTATTTTTTTCAGCAAAGCATTTTGTAGAGAAATAGAAGAAGTAGTTATTTGCAATGCTGCAGGTTAAAGTGGATCCCTCCAAAAAGATGTGTTGAGGTTTACGCCCCAGGACCTCAGAATGTGGTGTTATCAGGACATGGGACCTTCACGAGGTAGCCCAGTGACGGCAAGGCTGCGACGGTGGTCACTAATCTACTTTCTGCTTTCTTCTACAGAGGGGAAAGGCAGGCATAGAGGGAAGATGTGGGGAGACCCCAGGAGGATGTCGGCCACAAGCCAAGGAAGGTTTAAGACGATCAGCAGCTGGAAGATAGGCCTGGAAGAGATTCTCCTTTACTGTCCTCAGAAAGGACTAAGCTGCTGACACTGTGATTATGGATAGTGAACCTCCAGACCCGTGAAAACCCAGACTTCTGTTGTTTGAGCCACACATCTTGTACCATTCAGTAGAGCAGCCCCAGGAAATGAACACACAAAAGAAGCCTAGGATGTAGCCACTAAGCAGCAATGATGAGACAACCTCAAGGGCAACTACCATATGGACTGCGCAGTAGGGCGAGCACTTTACAAGCCTGGCTCACTCATTCCCATAAGATTATTCTTTCTCTCCATTTCACAGACAAGCACTTTGGGGCAGGAGGAGACCTGGACGGGCCCAATGGACACATCGTCAGTAGCAGGCCTTGAGTCTGGAGAGTGGTGCAAACAGAATTTTATGGCTGCTGTAGAGACGGAAGGCCAGGTCATGTGCTGAGTTGCCGCCTGAGCCAAGCTCACTAGAGGCTTCCAAAGAGCAGATCAAGGTTGTTCAAAGGTTGTTCACGCAGCCTCATCAAACTCTTCCCAGGATTTTTGGTGCTTAAGGCACGATAGTAAATGGCACATGGCCTGATCTGCATACTCAGGAGTCTACCTCTCATGAGAAAGTCAGATTAAAACAACACAAGGCATCATGTGGTAATAAATTTACAATCTGAATTATTAATAACATTCTCATCTTTCATCCAGTGAGTGCTGCGCTTTGCCTTGTGTCTTCGTGCCAGGTTCTAGGCTGTTTATCATGTGTTTTACCTCTTTGGAATCATCCCAATTTGTGAGGCAGGACCATTATTAGCCCATGTCTAAGGAAACAAGACTGTGGCTGACGAAGTTGTACAAGTGACCCTTGGGGAGTTTCCGAGGAGTGAGAGACCTCCCCACACAGGGATCCTAGAGGAAGGGAGGACACCCAAGGGCAGAACAGAGCCGAGAGAGGCAGACAGCAGGAAGCGCATTGCAGACTGGAAGTATGGGACTAGAAGGACAGACACATGGGGAGCAAGAAGGACACATCCTGCCAGCTGACAAGGAGGTGGCCAAAGTGACCAAAGCCATCGCTACTCCCAAGTAGCTGAATTGTGAACTGGAAACCTTCTCAGAACCTTATAATCTCTGCATAACTGAGACATGAAAATATTTTTTCAGCCCTTTTGGTTGGTGGAGCTTGTAAAAAAGGCCTTGACATCAGAGGGCTCCAGGTTCAAACGCTGATCCTCCCACTTGCTATCACTGTGTGCAACTTACTGACCACTCTGTGCCTCAGTTTCCCCATATATAAGATGGCTATGCTGCAGTAACAGTTTCCATGCCTTGGAGTCTTTATGAAGATTCAGAGAGACAATCAGCACAGTACCCAGCAGGCCCAGGTATGATCAATATGAATTTATTTTATTTAATTCCCATTGCTGTCACTATGATTATTCTTTTAGTACTGGCAATTAAAATGCAGCCAGGATCTCAGCTGGAGCTCAGCTTCACTCCCCATGAGATATGGGGCCCATGTGGGCAGAGCTGGGGAACCAACACAGAGAAGAGCAAGCTGACATTTAGCTTCTTGGGAAAACTTCTGCTTCTCAA